ATGTTAAGTGTTTCATACCTATTAATTAACTATTTAATTCTCCAAATGATCCCATGGGGATGGGCCCTTTAGACCATTATCATCACCACTCAGATAATGTAATAATGAAAGAACAGACATGTATAACAGGGTGGCTGCTCCAGTAAACCAGGATCCAAATACAGGACAGATTTCAGAAATGAAGCTCTCAGTCAGGCAGCCTCCTTTTGAGGTCAGTTCTCTCTCTCAGCCTCCTTCCCCATACATTTTGTTTATTTTCAGAGTGGCTATTCTATGTCAACCACCCCGCTAAAAATATGCTAAAGTGCTATACTGGAAATGAACGGAGATAAGGCCACAGAGATGGCATGGGTTCTATGCATATGGGGTTATTTTTCCTTTCCTTCACTTTGTGTAGGTAGATTACATGGGTTCAGTTTCCATCTCAGTTTGAAAAACATTTTTTAAGATGGTCTTCAGTGTTACAGAATAAATAATGGAATCCTGAAACAAAGATATATCAAAATAGTTTCGATTCGAATTCATATCTAACCTCCAGAACACAGTATGAATCATTTTTAGTAATCAAATCAAGAGAGTATGGCTTTATCTTTTCATTTAGAAAAATTAAATGTTTTCGTTGGCCTCTGCATAAGAGACCATAAAATTCCTTAAACCCACCAATTTAAGTACTTCTCCAAATCACCTCTAATACTTAAGACACATCCGTTCCTTATTCCGTTTTCAGATTGGTTAGCGTTAACACTGGAGAGACAATGGTCTCCCACTCTACTTTTGCAATAGTTCTCTGTTGCATGTGAAGACAGACCATGACAGGGAGTTACTCATTCAAACCAGTCCTGTCCTCAAGTCCACTGTACGTTACAAGCTATACTGTTGCCTTGTAGGTACTTTCTGATTTGTAATAAATTCAGACTGAAGATATTTCTATTTTTCACAATAAAGTTTCCTGGTACATGTAGGATTTAACTAAATACAGATGCTATTATTCTATTCACTCAACATAAATAACTAGAGTGTCCTCAGGCACCAGCCTGGAACTCTAAAGGCAGTTCAGTTTGGCAGAGGATTAACAAGGAGATAAAAAAAGCTTTTTCAATGAAGCAACCGACGATGCTCAGAAAACTGGAGGCAGTTTCTAGGTTAAAGAATTAAAAGTCAAGAGCAAGAATAGTCTTGACTTCTGAAGAGGATACCTCTTAGAAGGTTATCCTAATTGGTACTGACAATAAAAATTTGAGAAACATACATACATTCTAATATGTTTCTGTAAGGTGTGAAGTTTCAGAGTATCACCCTAAAATGGGTGTAGATGAGTGGTGAGAAAATGAGAGAACTTGCAGTTTTCCTATCAAAATAACTTTATCTCTACCTCCAGGTATTCTGGGGGGGAGGGGATAAAACAAAAACAGAGACACAAACATATAGGTGGTGTTTCATAATAATGACTAAAGAGACAAAAAATGTGCAGCATCTTGTTGGAGCTGTGAACACCTCACGGTGGTTTAGTAAAGAATCCTAGCATTTACACAATTGCAGTAAATGTCCTATACAGCATTGGAATTGCTTTTCAAATCAAGAAGCCATGTGTTCTGCATAAGACACAAAATGTTCCTGGACGGAGGTAAGAGGTGGTGGACTGAATTCAAGACACCCAAGAGTCAAGCGGTGCATCTTAGAGCTGGGCTGATGGGAGCCAGGACAACCAATACTGCCTGGCCACAAAACTGATCAGAAGGAATTCTCTCGATTTGGAACTTAGTTTATGGAATCACGGGACGGGGTATCATTTATTAAACCTGCCATTGAACTCCTTTATGAACTCAGCTGTAATTTTATGTTATTAAGGTTTAAAACTTAAGCAACTTTTGTTCTGGTTGGGGGAGAAGGGTACTTTTTTCTTTTAGATGTTCTTTCTACTTACTAACCTGAAGAGGTTTTTTGTTTTGTTTTGTTTTGTTTTTCCCGGTAGCTGATAAAATATAATGATGCACAAGGAATTTTGGTAGCTTTTCAGGAACTTCTGCGCCCAAGCAGATTCACAAAGGCCCAATAATCGGGCTGAAACATACTTTCCAAGGTGTGTTTTCGTCTCTAATTTCATTGCGGGTCTTGCTGGTTGTTTACCAACCGTCCAGGCGGCACCTGAAACGGCTGTTTTTACAAGTCCGTTAAAAAGTTAATTTGGACTTGGTTTTCTTTTTTTCCCTCCGGTTTGCCATTTTCCACCCCCTTTCTCCCGGCATTTACCAGTAGAGACCTGCCTGGGGGGGATTTTGTCCTCCGAGGGCAAAAGTATTTTCTCTTCTGGAAATAAGTTGACGTCAACTGGGAGCTGTTTTGGGTTGCTTTGTTTCCCGGAGCGTCCAACCCTGTACACCGCCTCCGGCAAACTGCAGGCAATTCAAAGCAGCTCGCCCAGCAGGGAGGGGAACTGCCGGCAGTGGACCGGGTGGGCTGCGCCGCCTGCAGAAGTAGGAAGGCCGCTGGCAGCTGCTGTGTTCACCACCCAGAGCGTGGGCCTTGGCACCCTACCCGGCCCGGCCCGCCCGAAACGCAGCCCGGAGCTGCGGGTGCAGCAAAACTCCAGGGCTCTCTCTTGGTGTTCCCAGTGTGAGCCGCTGGGAAGCAATCCCCTAGCCCAAGACTTGCCCAGCACCCGCCTAGATTCTCAACACCCAGACAGAGCAGCCACTTGGCCCGTCCTTGGACAAAGGGCTAGCTTCCCGCCCCCGGAAATAGCCAAGTGTGATCGGTGTCTGGATCCCGGTGTGTAATCGACTTAGCTGCTCACTGTCCTAGGTTCGGCGAAACAAATGCAACTTTCTGCGATTTTCTTGGGCAGGTGAGGGGAGCAGTGCAGCGTGAACAAAGCCAGACATCCCTCTGGCCACACCTCAGGCACAATTCCCGAGGATCACAACCTCCAGGTTTCTCTCGGGCCTTGCAAGTCTCCGGGGAGAGCAAGGAGGATGACAGGCCAGGTGCGCGCGCGTTTGTTCCCCGGAGCGGCAGGGGCCCAAGAGGCGGAGATGTGTCATAACTCGTTTTCTACCTGGCATGGCTGTCCCGACACTGCGGGACGTCCAGGGCCCGTGAGCCACCGGAAGGGCGAGTAGCAATCACCAGAGAAATGACACAGTCCCACTTAGATGTCCGGAAACCTCATCTTCCTTTCTCACAAAAATTTTAAGTTGCAAATTGATGGATGTGTTTGTCTTGGTGCATAAAATAACTTGCCCCCAAAGCAGAGCAAGAGGGCAGGGAAGGGGGATCGAGCAGTTGTCCCGGCTCTCGTAGCACAATTACAGAGAATTCGAATTTGGAGGCAAAATCGGGTGCGCAATGAAAGACCACGCAAAGCTGCCTCCTAGGAGAGCCGTCCTGGCCTGGGGCGAGCTGTTGCGACCTGGTTCCGACCTGATTCCGTTGGTGCCCCTCACTCTTGAGGACTCGGAGCTGACCAGCTCAATCTGGTGGCACGGCCCGACGAGCGGGAAGTAAGGATGCGCTCAGAAATCAGAGTACGCTCCAGAGGTGGCCGGGACCTTGCCACCCAAGAAGCGCCCAGGTCCCCAGGAAGCTCTTGGGGCGCTGCCTTTGGCCCGGGAGAACGGGCAGGCGGCGACGCGAGGACGCGCCTGGAGCCTGGGGCGCACCAGGGGCGGGTATTGGGCTGGAAGTGGGACAGTGTCTCCTATGGGAAAGCGGGACCAGGCGAGCTCTTTGGCTGCCTTTCCAGTTTCCGAGGTGCCGCCCCCGCGCGCCAGAGGCAGCGCAGCCCGGGGGAGGGGGGGTGGGAAAGAACGCCTAGTGGTTGGCAAACTTGGAGGGAGAACACTCCTGGGATCCGCGCTGCCGGCATTGGAGCGGGGGCGGCCGAGACCCAAGTGTCCCCAGTTCCGTCCGCCCAGCCTGGCACTGCGTCAGCTCCAGCCCAGTGCGGCGCCTCACCCGAGGGAGTTGTCTGGTCCCTCCCGGACCCGGAGGGCGGGCGGCTGGAGCGGGTGGGGAGGGGTCCCTGGGGTCCCGAGCGCCACTACCCCTGTCTCCCCTCTCCATCACCCCCCGCCCCTCCCAGCCTCTTCTCTCCCGCTCCTTTCCCTGGGCCGGCTGGACCGGCGCGGACTTGCCCCAGACCTACGGGGAGCGCCCCAGGTCTTTAATGACAGCTTAAAAGTGGCAGTTGGAAAAGTGGAGAGAGATGAGGCTGACGTGGGGCGTGTTTCGCTCCTTTGCAAGAGTCGGAAAGCGAGCTGGGAGCCGCGCGGCTGGCCCCAGGCCCCCGCGCCTAGCCGCCAGCTAGTAGGTGGGGGAGCGGCCGCCGCCAGCCCGGTCCCGCTCCCAAGCCTCGCCCGCTGCGCCCTGGCCGCGGGCGCCGGGAGGGTGCGGGGCCTCCCGTGCCTCCTCCACCCTACTCATTAACCTGCCTGCTCCGCTCCGCTCCGGGCAGCCCCACACTCGGGCTTCTCCCTGCAGCACCCGCGGCCGCCCCGAACCCCCGGCTCCGGGGGGCAATGAGGGGGCGGCAGAGGGGGCGCCGCGCCTCGGGCATTACTTAGAGAAGCCAGCGCGCCCCGCCCTCCCGCCGGCCCACCCTCGCTCCTGCCCGGGCCCGCGCGCCTCGCCGCGCCGCGCAGCCAGAGGGTAAGTTGGGAGGGTTTCGCCCCCACCGACAGCTCTCCCTCCCTTTCTTCCTTCTTCTTCTTCTCCCCCCCCCCCCAAAGTTTTATTAGAATTGGGGAGCTGGGTGGAAGGGGGGAGGAGGGAAGTCCGGCCGGCCAGGGTCCCGGGCCCTCTCCCGGCCTGACGGAGCCCCCAGCGCCCCTGCCCTGCATCCCCCCGCGCGCCGCTACCCCTCCGGAGCCGCACTCGGGAAGGACAATTGGAGCGCGGCTCCTTTAAGAGCCTAGCTTTGCCTCCCGGTAGCTGAAGGTCATTAAACACAAAAGCTCTCAGCGCTGCGGTCCAATATAGCGCATGCGCCCTGCCCGAGGACTGGCAGAGAGACGGCAATATGGCGAGAATGCCTGGCAGCGGGGACTGTAACACCAGCGCGGGCGGCGGCGCGGCCGCAGCCGCCGCCGCCGCCGAGAACAATGGGGAGCGGGGCGAGGGGGAGCGCGGCGCGGGGGCCCGCGGCCGCCGTCACGGCCGCCCGCACTACTGCAGCGCGGGCGAGGAGGAGGAAGAGGAGGAGGAGGAGGAGGACGAGATCCAGGAGGTGCAGATAACGGGGGACGAGGAGGAGGAGGAGGACGGAGGTGGGGGGCTGGAGGAGGACGAGGAGGAGGAGGAAGAGGAGGAGGAGGAGGAGATGGGGCTGGACTGGGACGAGCCCCTGGAGCCCGTGGACTCGGCCGGGGAAGAGCTGGAGCCCGAGCCGGTCCATACGATCAATATGGACCGGAGCGCCGCGCTGGAGCCCGAGGCGCCTCCACGGCTGCTGGCGCCCAGGGCGCGCAGCGGGCCGCCCGGGGACGGCGCCGAGGTGGACCCCGACGTGCTGCAGCGCCCCGAGCGGGCCCGGCTGAGCGAGAACACCAGGCTGGCCACCCGCTACGCCGTGCGCATCTTCCGGGAGTACCTGAGCGAGAAGGCGCAGAGCCCGGACTTCGAGACCATGGACAAGGGGGCGCTGTGCCGCGTGCTGCGCTCCTTCTATGCCGAGGCCCGCTCCAAGAGCGGCCAGCTCTACAGCAAGTCCTCGCTCATCAGCATCCGCAGCTCCCTCAACCGCTACCTCAACGAGCCCCCGTACTGCCGCACGCTCGACCTCACCAAGGACCCGGAGCTGCGCAGCGCCAACCTGACGCTGGCCGCGGTCATCCGCAAGCTAGAGGAGCAGGGCGCGGGCCCCGTGGTGCAGAAGCAAGCCATCACGCGCGCCGACCTGCGCAAGCTCTACACCTCCAGCGTCTTTAGCACCGGCACGCCCTTCGGGCTGCTCAACAAGGTCTGGTTTGAGACGTGCATGTACTTTTGCACGCGCGGCCGCGAGAACCAGCGCGAGCTGGAGGAGGACTCGTTCGGGCTGGCCATGGACGAGGACGGCCGCAAGTTCGTCTACTTCAAGTCCCTCGGGCCCTACCACAAGTCGCGCTCGTCCTCGTGGAGCAAGAAGCGCGCGGAGAGCAGCGACGAGGAGAACTTGCCCCGCATGTACGAGACGGGCACGGAGTTCTGTCCCTATGCCAGCTTCGTCAAGTACCTCTCCAAGCGCAACCCCCTGTGCAAGGCATTCTTCCAGCGGCCGCGGGACCACTGCAGCGAGGGTGACGTGACCTGGTACGAGAACAAAGCCATCGGCAAGAACCTGCTGGGCACCAGGATGCAAATGCTGTCCAAGGCGGCCAAACTCTCCAAGACGTACACCAACCATTGCATCGGCGCCGTGTCCATCGCCACGCTCAACAGCATCGCAGGCATCGGCACCAAGCTGGGCTCGCCTGCCCCGCAGGGCTGCTACGCGGAGCCTCTGAACGGGGCGGCCCGACACCCCTCCCACCCCCACCACCACCCCTCCACCCACCCCTCCCACCACTCCCGCCCCCAGCCGCCCGCGCTGGGGAACTCTTACCTCCTCCCCAAGGACAGCCAGGTTGGGCCCGACGACGTGAAACCCGAGGCTACACCCAAGCGCGCGCTGTACGAGTCGGTGTTCGGGCCGGGGGACCTCTGCGGGCCCTCGTCCCCCAAAAGACTGTGCGTCCGCCCCTCGGAGCCTGTGGATGCGGTGGTGGTGGTTTCCGTGAAACACGACCCCCTGCCTCTTCTTCCAGAAGCCAATGGGCACAGAAGCACCAATTCTCCCACAGTAGTTGCACCTGCTATTGTTTCCCCCACCCAGGTAACCAAACCAAACTCTATGCATGACCTGTTTTCTCTGGGATCCCCTCGGGACGAACTCTGGTGCCGAAACAGGATTTGGGCCGGGGGAGAGAAGTTTTTCTAAAGTAGCCCGTGTGCCAAGTTGGAGTTGGTGGTACTCTTAGAAGCTTTAGCTGGCTAGGTGCGCTTGGGAGACCGCTGAGACCTAGCCTTGCAAGATTGTGGGAGAGAGGGCGTGCGACTTCAGGAATCATTGCTAAGCTTAAAAAGAAAACAAAAAAAGGCACTGTTCTCGGAACAAAAGGAGTAGTTGCGCTCCTGCTGCGTTCTCTGCGTTGGCTGCCCGAGTTTTTCAAGGCAAGGAAGAGCAGGGATTCTGAAACGGTATCAGGAGGAAGTAGTTGGCTTTAATCCAATCCGAGAGATTGGTTTAAGTAGCTGTTAGAATACTGTTGCTACATAGTTAGCAAAAGTTAGCAAGGCAGAAAAACCACTTAGAGGTTATTTACAAGAAAACACTAGTCCCAACTTCTGTGACTTTCTTTCCTTCGTTTTCTTTCTCCCTTCTTTCCTTATTTCTTCCCTTCTTTTCTCCTTCCCTTCTTTTCTTTTCTTTCTCCATTTCTTCCTCCCCCCCTTTTTTTAAAGGGACTGGTGTAGAGATGGGCCAGCCTGGCAACTGAGTGCTGGCTTATACTGTACCTTTGTAGTCAGACACAAAGTGACACTTGGGGTGGGGCTTCGCTGCTGGTTAACACTGCTCAGATGTGCAGGCTGTGAGCATTGCAGGTTCCATTCTGTCCCTCGCCTCTTGGAGCTCTCCACCTAGGGGACATGTGAACTCTTAGAGCGAGTGACAAGAATACGGGACCGAGTGTGCTCCTGCAGAAGCCAAGGCAGCATGGGGACAGAAGTTCATCTCTGGGAGCTGGGAGGTCTGTAACCCCAAACTGAAGTCAAAGCAGTATTGCATTTTAGGTCAAGATGAGGGCCCCAGTTGTTCAATGCATCTTTGCTCATTATTTGTCTTAGAGGACTCTATTCATGTTATTAAAGTCGTATTTCTTTTCCCGACACCGTTTCTGTGAGCTAGAAACTGGAAGTCCTTGGGGATCTGGTTCTGTTAGGCAGGTGGGGGTAGCTACTGGAGGTTTTATGGCTTTGCCTTCCCTGCTGCTCAGCAGAAGAATTCTGTCAGTGCAGAGGTGTCTGATCAAGCCCTTTGAGAACAAGTCAGCTATTTCTGCCTTTTCCCAAGTGCCAATTCCAGTTCTAGACAGGCTGACCGTGCTCAAGGGTCAGCAGCAGCTGGACAAGCCTTAAGGCCAACCGAGTGAGGGGCTGTAGCAAAGTCAGTCCTTTGAAATGCACAAGCCCTGGGTAGGCGCTGTGTCTTTCTGTACTTCTCAAGTGCTTAGGATATTCCTGACAGACTCAGCTTGTTTTAGAAAGTGAAGGCTGCAAAAGAGAGTGTGGATTTGCTCTTTCTTTGAAAGCAAATAGAAATACTCAGCGTTTTTCTGCTAAGGTGAAGATCTTTAAAATGCCCTGGTGTGGAGCAGCACCTGATTTAGAGTTAAACCTCCAAAAGTTTCTTAAAGCATAGAGCTGCTTAGAGTAATAATGGATAGGTTTGTGTACCCGCACCTGTCTGCTGGCATCTTCACACCGGTGTCAGAACCATACCCTGAAGATCCACAGAGGATGAGGCACTTTTGTTACACTGGTTTTGCTTGGTTCTATGAAATACAGTCCTTCTGTTGTAATCTTTTTATTTACTTGAGTGAGATAAATCAGTTGTATGAAGCTGCCGACTGAGTGTTTATTAGCCTTGAGTTATTGTTGGGTAGTTTGTCACTTAAATGTGCTTTTGAGTGTCCATATTGTAGCTCAGATTATTATAACTCTCAGACTTTGTCTTGGTTGTAAGAAATTTTTTTATTTAATACACTACAAAAAGTTGTTCTCTTTTCATGTATTTAATAGCTTTTCATTTGTGTTCATTTTTTGCACATCAACAGTTAAGATATTTAAGGAACTCTTTTAACTAGTAACTTCTGTAGAACTCTATGAAGTCTTTGAAATCTAAGTATGAAAGGAATGTTTAGTTGAAGTAGAAAGCGATATTAAACTTTTCCTCCTGTATTAAAGTCACCGTGCCGACTGAAGTCCAGGACATTTCCTGGGAAATAATGGCTGGCTGGGGCTACTGGCCTGTGGCTTCACTTGGGTCATCAGCTCTTCTGGCTGGTCATTAAAGTGCCAGGAAGTGCCCCGTGTCTCAGCTCGATTTCTTATTACTTCCTTATAAACACGGATCCTTAGCCATAAAACAGATCTGACCTCATCTACTGTGTTGCCCAAATCCTACTGAGCACACGGCAACAGACTTCTTCCTAACAGAGAGATGGCACACTGGTGTTTTTGTTCTGCTAAGTATGCGAAGTTTCTCCAGAGATGGAGACCTTACTACTTTAAACGTGTGTTCTCTTTTTATTTGAGCCTGTTAATAAGGGCACCACTTATGGAACTTGTTGAAAAATGAATGCACCAGAGAAGTAAGATTATGAACTTTAGATTTTTGCTCATGTGAAATATCTGACTTTGGGTTGGGGAGGGGGGTTTGTGATGCTTACTTTAACTGCTCCATTCTGTAATTCTCTTTCTCTTGAATGGCTGTGTTAAAAGGAGAGGAAAGTTTTAATTCTGTTTTCCTTCTTGTGGCTGTTGTGATCTGAGAAGAGCCGTTCTTAGTGCCAATTGCTAGTCCGAGCTCCATCTAGCAAAGTTTTAATACTGTGTCATTTGTCTTTTGGCTGCTTTCTTTGCGTGGAAATACAGCATTTTTCCTGACTTAGAGAACAGTGCATCAGCGTGGATGGATGCTAGAGATTTTAATCGTGTGATCATTCACCAAGGGAAAAAATACTAATAGAATTTTAGATTCAGAAGGTCATGGTTTTGTTGCTAAAGTATGGGAGACCATATCTTTTTCAGTCCCACACTAATACGTGAAAATTACCTCACTACAAGACACATGAGCACTTGCAAATTGAGGGTACAGGTGTATACTGTTTATTTCTGTTTGTGGAAACATTCTGGGGTGCTTGTCCTCAGTGTGGGCGAGGGTCAGTCTATGAGGTTTCCCGGCTGGGTCAGGGGAGGCCAGGCAGGTGCACACGGTAGTTGGTTCAGTTACAGAGACTGCCAGTTTTTATTCATTCAAGGATCGCCGTGGGAAGGGGACTGTTTGATCTAGGAAAGAGCCAGTATTTTATGTGTTACTGAAGTCATTGCTGAAGTCCAATCTTGAATTTGAAAATCAGGGCAGGAAAGATGCAATTGTCCCCCCACGAAGGTGGACTCAGACTATTCTGAACGTGAAAGGAACAGAGTAAATTAGTTCAAGCCATCTTTGCCATGCTTATATAGAGCTGTCAGGATTAAGAGTCTTGTTTCAGAGAAGTATTTTCCCCTAGTATTTAAAAATAGTTTGTGGCTACTTTGCTTTTTTGCGGTGATAAGAATGTTTGCAGTCCTGGCGTGGAAAGTGCGGATTGGTGGAGGAACTAAAGGTCTCGCACATAAACACGTGACTTTCTTCATTAGTTCCAGAAATGGTTACTGAGCACCTGATATTCTGGCGTCTGCACCAGGAATCTATAAAATAATCACTTTCCACCTAGCAAGTAAAGTTCCATTGGTAAGTTTTGGTCTCTCTACATATTTAAGTGAAATCAGAATAGAGAAAAATAAAGGGCGACACATTCAATACTTGTCAGCAGTCGTTCCGGGAAGGAAATCTCCACTTTATATTTTCTGTTAAGCACCCTTACACATATTGATAGTAGGTGAATTGGAGCATGTTATTGTACATTACTAGAAAACCGTGTCAAACGTCAGTTCATTAGTAAAGCAGATAAGTGAACAGAAATAGAAGTATTTGTTGCCAAGCAAGGTTGTGGGTCCCAGTCATAACATTTAAATCTGCGTCGCTCTGAGTTCCAGATCTGGCTCGCCAAGCAATGGCCACCGCTTCGTGACCAAGTAGATTCCCCGCAGTCTGTAGCAGTCATTCTAGGGGCTAATTGTCAAGGAGACCCTTTGGGTGGGTTTTTTTGCCCTGGCCTTAGTCCATGAAAACCCCCCAGTAATAAAAAGCTGGTTTTTATTATGTTATCTTTTAATCTTTTAATGTCCTTTTTTTTTTAAAAAAAAATTGTGTTTAATTTTATTTGAAAGATGCAGTGAAGGCGAGCCAAAGAATTTTTTTTTAAAGATTTTTTTTTTTAAGAATTACTTTTGTAAAGGCAGGTCAGATTTATACAGAAAGGAGTCACAGAGAAAGATTTTTCCATCAGCTGGTTCATTCCCCAGGTTGTTGCAATGACCAGAGCTGAGCCCATCTGAAGCCAGGAGCCAGGAACTTCTTCCAGGTTTCCCATGCAAGTGCAGAATCCCAAGGCTTTGGCCATCACATCCTGTCTTCTGAGATATATTAGAAGGAAGCTGGATTGGAAGCCGAGTAGCCAGGGCATAGTCTTGCGCTCACATATGGGGTACTGGCATTGTGCCCAAACATTGGCTCATTGGGTTTTTATTTCTAGGACTTCTTTTCCTTCTCATGATACACCATGTACTGCATTGTAACCTTTAGACAAGATAAAAACTTCTCTGGGGAATTTACGTGAGAGGTAGATTGGTGTTAATAAACTGGTAAAATATTAATTGACCTTGATGATCAGAAACAAAAGGAGATGTTGCTTGAGGATCCAAAACACTGCCCTGGCACACTTACCGAATGCTTCTGGTGTTCTGCAATGACGCATTCAGTTCAGGCATCATTGCTTGGACATCTCTCTGCTTCTAAGGGCTGCAGAAAGGACAGAGGGCAGGCAGTCCTTGTCCTCCGTAGGGCTTTGCAGAGGATGTGCAAATAAAGCTGGAGTCACTCTGCTGAATTCATGAGGGTGAGAGAGGGAGCAGGTGACCTCTTCCTGTGTTAGGGTTGGTGAACCT